CGGGTGGCCGAGGGAACCCCGGCGGGTTTCTTTCGGGGCCGCCCTTGGGCTCTGCGGAGGTTTCTCGAGGGGCCGGGCCCATTCAGACGACTGGAGCCATCAATTTGGGCCCCAGAAGCGCCTAGAAAGACTTCGGTTATTCTGGAAACAGCTGCGAAGCTGTAGGTTTTTCTGTGGTTTCCCCTTGAGGAATTACAGAAGCAGTGGTTTTCCAACTTGAGCGTGCATAGGAATCACCTGGAGCCCCTGGTAAAGGTACAAATTTTTCAGTCCCCTTCTCGTCTGAATCTCTGAGGGGCGGGACTCGTTCCTGCGTGTTTAACAAGTTCCCCCACGTGATTCCGAGGCTGTAGCTTGCAAACACTGGGCAGGAACCTCTGGGATCCTGAAAAGGGTGGGTGCTCTGTAGATTGTGAATTAAGTTCCGGGTTTTGTAGCCTCTCCACACCTTTCAGGAGATCAGGAGAGACCTTGGCGTCAGCCCCAAATCCACCGGACTTAGCACCTTACCTTGGTCTCCCTTGAGGGGAACTAGTAACTTGATGTACCTGGCTGACTGCTTGCACGAGTGGAATGGGTTCTAATTGTCCCAGATTTAGGGCTTGGTAATGAGAACAGGTGTTTGGGTTTCTGCGTGCATTCCGTGCCTAACATTCTGACCTCCTTCAGAGCCCTCCTTTCCGTTCCTGCTTGGGATTCTACTTGCCCAGTTTGATACAGACCCTGTTTTTCCTACATTTGGAATTCAGGAGTAGTGCTACTGTTTAAGACTCGTATTAATATTGATCTGGTAGAAATAATATTCTTTTCAGAGCAACTGCTGTAGATTTACTTGTTTGACACCGCAAAGTTGAAGGTAGTAATTGTAGAAGTTGAGCAAGATGTCACCATGTGTACGTACGTGATGGTGTATCCTGAGTGGAAGACAAAGAAAAAGTTAATGTATTTTTCTTGAGTCTTCTGATTAGCACAGTGCCCACTTTTTTGGTACTTTGGGTTTCTTTCAAAATAAGTGGTTCTCAACCATGGAGCAGTCTTGTTTTCCAAGGGATGTTTGGCAACATGTGGAGATAATTTAGATTGTAGAGGGGCTGGGAATTGCTGCTGGTATCTAGTAGGAAGAGGCCAAATATGCTGCTAAACAACATTGCAGGGGAAACCGTCCACACGTCTGGCTCAAAACGGTACTGTTACTGATGGCTGAGGCTGAGAGACCCTGGTCAGGATCGTGTGTGTAACACTAGTAGTTGAATATAAAATGTCGTTAAAAGTGCCACCCTGTGTTCCTATTTCATATGTAAGTGGGGTGGGGTTTATGTCGTTTAATTAGAAACCTGAAAGAACTGGGGTGATCTTTTCTCCAAGAATAACTATAGGCAAATCTGAAAAGCACAGTGGGTCGGAATCTCACTGCATTACTTTCTGACATTTGATTAATAGATTATAGTGGTTGCTTCCTAAATGTTAGTTGATGATAAAAGTACTTTAACTCTGTAAAAAAAATTTAAAGGTACTAAAACTCTAGGATGCTCAAGATTGGAGCATTCACAAAAACTGCATTCGGGGGCGGGGAATGTAGCTCAGTGGCAAAGTGCCTGCCTGGCAAGCACAAGGTCCTGACTTCAATCCTTGGTATAAAAGAACCAACCTGCAATGAACTTTTAGGAATTCAGAACAGGTAGGCTGGAAGTTTCTATCTTAGACCAGTGTGAAAACTCTGAATGTAAGTGTTTTACAGATAAGATTGTATTTTATTTTTTTATTTCAAGCAGTGATGGAGAAACTGTACATGTAATGAATAATTTCTGGTAATATTAAGTGGGCAGAAAAGAAAGCATAGACCTCAGTTGAATTTTAATGACTTGTACTCTTAAAAATTGTTTGAATCAAAGTGAAACATTGTGTTATTTCAGTTTCTTTGAGGAATGGGCTATTCTGAGTTGAATTGTACATTGCTAATATAAATTTGAGAGCTATTTGAGCAGTTTTGAATGATTGCATTTAAACTGACTATGCATAATATATAAAACTACAGTAAACACAATGTTATTTGATATCTGCCCTCTAAAATCTCAAATAACATCTCTCACTCTAACATGTAGTATGCTGTCATCATTCAATAGAATTACTGCCTGCATTTCCTTTGGTCTAAATGTAATTCTGTACCCTGCCTTTTCCTTCGTTAATATGTAAATGTGCATACTGCAGTGTCAGCCACTTTTTTTGTGATTTACTTTTCTTTCACAATAATATCAGCTCTCTTGTATCCGAAATGAATGATATCTTAAGAAACCAGATAGGTTAATTGGGACAGGGAATTAAAACTAGGAGTGGAGGAAAAGGACAATAGGGCCCTATAGAATAATCTGAAGAGAGTTTACCGTACTATTCAAGTAAAAATTGCCACAGGAGGGCCAGGGATTTAGATCAGTGGCACTGCGCCTGCCTCACAAGCTCAAGTTCCTGAGTTCAATCCCCAGTACCGGCCAAATAAAGAAAAAAATGCCACAGGAAATTAGTCTGATGATGCTGATGATGCTCTTGGTAAATTATCCACCATATACACAACTACACTTTAGTAACAGTTTGTGCTTGTAAACCTTTTACGTGTTGCCTAAAAAAAATTCTTTCTTCCTGTGTGTTTTGTTTAGATAGGGTGTACTGCTAGGGATTTAGGTCAGTGGTGCCTTGCCTGCCTCACAAGCACAAGGTCCTAAATTTGATCCCTGATACCAAAAAAAAAAAAAAAAAAAAAAAGGTGTACTGTAGTTTGTTTTGCCTTTAATTCCATCCTTAAGCGCACACATGGAGCTGAGTTTCTCAATTTTGGTATTTCTGACATTTTGGGCTCATTTTCTATTGTGAAGTAATGTCTTATACATTGCAGCATATTTAGCATCTCTGACCACCATCTACTAGTAATTCTTCCCATAGTTCTGACAACTAAAAATGATGCCAGGTGGAGGCAACTGCCCCCTAAGGGTAGAAAGAATAACCTCTAGTTGAAAAATCACTAATTTAGAGAACCTGGAGTTGCACTCTGATTTAGGGAGCCGCATTTACCAACTTGAATGTAGATTAATTAAAGTTCAATAATGTTGATGTTTTCTAAGTTGTAATAACCACATTCCAGGTGTTCAACAGCCATATCCGGCTTCTGTCATAACTGGCAGCACAATTATAGATCATTTCCGTTAGCGAAGAAAGTGCTAACGGGTAGTTTAATTTACTTTTTTTGGGGGGGTACTGGGGTTCAAACTGTGGGTCTTGCGTTTGTGAGGCAAGCAGTGGAACCACTGAGATAAATCCCCAGCCCTAATGTACTATCTCTGAAGGAGGTGACTTGAACCTTGTTTTTACCTAAGTGATTACAACTCAGCTCATTTTAGCAGTTATTCTCACATTGAACTGCCTACCTGACAGCTCATGCGCTCTGTGTGTGTGTCTCTGCCTCTGTCTCCCCACCCCCCGTGCCTGATTTGGAAAATCTGTGTCACCTTAATGTTTTCAAGGAGAATTAGGAGCAGAATGAATAGAACATCCCTTATCATTACTTATTGTTAATGACTGCCAGCATTTCTATCCTTGCTCTTTAAAAAGTGTAAGAAAAGAATCCATCTTAGGCAGGCTTTCAATGATGAGTTTCTGTGTTTGCTGATGCAGAGCCCACTCTGGGGTAGAATGGGAGGACTTTTGTGTGGAGACAATAGGCTGTATTTTAGTTTTCATGTAAAGCTCATATCTCATGTTCTTGGGAAGCAAGGGTTTTACATACAGGTGCATGGTGGCTGTGGCAGTAAATGATTACCTAGTGCTGGCTGTCAGAGGAGACTGATAAGATTTAGCCAGTACAAAGTGCCCACTCCAAAAAATGTATGGCCTTGGTGATTCTTGGCTTATTCAAGATTGCAGAGGTGGTCAGTAGCAGAGCTGTTGGTGGTCCCTAGTCCTGTGTGTATTGTGTTACAATCCCAGATTTTAAGTTTATAATTATAGGTAGGAGTTGCTTGACTTTATTGTTGTTGGTCTCCACCTAAAGCAGAAACAGTTTGTTTTTCAGGGTTGAGGATTGAACTGAGGGTCTCATGCATGCTAGGCCAGTTGTGTCCCTGAGCGTCTCCCCCATCCTATTTGACACTTTATTACTGGCAGGTCAGGTGTGGTCAGATCCAGGTGCTGACAGACATAGAAGTATGTTCTACTAAGGGGCATATACATTTTTAGACAGTTCTTAACAAAGGGGTAAAAAGTAAAGTAACACAGGAGTTAAGAAACAAGCTGGGGGATACATGGAGTGAGTGGCCAGAAACGATTTTGTGGAAGAAATTCTTTAGGTGGAATATTTAGTTCAGAAGTATGCTTTTTTTTTCCAAGAGTTTTAGTTGTAAATGTAGATTTTTATTGTGTAGGTGTGTGTATGCGCACATTTAATTTTTTTGTACCGGGGATCAAACTTGGGACCTTGTGCTTGCAAGGCAGGCGGCAGCACCACTGAGCCCTAGATTTTTATTTTA